CAATTTCATCCAAACTTCACAGGAATGTTCCTTTGGTGGTCACCTTTAAAAATTGTTCAAAGAATTTAATTCCATGCAAAACTCTGGTTGCCATGGCAACCGAAAGAAAAAACTTTAAATATCTTCTTTTAAAAAACCATAAGAGCTAGAGCTTAGATATTTAGCATGAAACATCTTCTAGTGAGTGTCTACCAAGTTTGTTCAAATAAAAGCCCTGAGGTCAAAATTGGCCCCGCCCCGGGGGGTCATTGATTTTCCCTATATGCATATAGTAAAAACTTAAAAAAATCTTCTTTTAAAGAACCCAAAGAGCTACAGCTAAGATATTTAGCATGAAACATGTTCTAATGGGTGTCTACCAAGTTTGTTCAAATAAAAGCCCTGGGGTGAAAATTGGCCCCGCCCCGGGGGTCATTGATTTTCCCTATAGCTATATGCATATAGTAAAAACTTAAAAATCTTCTTTTAAAGAACTCAAAGAGCTAGAGCTTAGATATTTGGCATGAAACATCTTCTAGTGAGTGTCTACCAAGTTTGTTCAAATAAAAGCCCTGGGGTCAAAATTGGCCCCGCCCCGGGGGGTCATTGATTTTCCCTATATGCATATAGTAAAAACTTAAAAAATCTTCTTTTAAAGAACCCAAAGAGCTACAGCTAAGATATTTAGCATGAAACATGTTCTAATGGGTGTCTACCAAGTTTGTTCAAATAAAAGCCCTGGGGTGAAAATTGGCCCCGCCCCGGGGGTCATTGATTTTCCCTATAGCTATATGCATATAGTAAAAACTTAAAAAATCTTCTTTTAAAGAACTCAAAGAGCTAGAGCTTAGATATTTGGCATGAAACATCTTCTAGTGAGTGTCTACCAAGTTTGTTCAAATAAAAGCCCTGGGGTCAAAATTGGCCCCGCCCCGGGGGGTCATTGATTTTCCCTATATGCATATAGTAAAAACTTAAAAAATCTTCTTTTAAAGAACCCAAAGAGCTAGAGCTAAGATATTTAGCATGAAACATGTTCTAATGGGTGTCTACCAAGTTTGTTCAAATAAAAGCCCTAGGGTGAAAATTGGCCCCGCCCCGGGGGTCATTGATTTTCCCTATATGCATTTAGTAAAAACTTAAAAATCTTCTTTTAAAGAACTCAAAGAGCTAGAGCTTAGATATTTGGCATGAAACATCTTCTAGTGTGTGTCTACCAAGTTTGTTCAAATAAAAGCCCTGGGGTCAAAATTGTCCCCGCCCCGGGGGGTCATTGATTTTCCCTATATGCATATAGTAAAAACTTAAAAAATCTTCTTTTAAAGAACCCAAAGAGCTAGAGCTAAGATATTTAGCATGAAACATGTTCTAATGGGTGTCTACCAAGTTTGTTCAAATAAAAGCCCTGGGTGAAAATTGGCCCCGCCCCGGGGGTCATTGATTTTCCCTATATGCATATAGTAAAAACTTAAAAAATCTTCTTTTAAAGAACTCAAAGAGCTATGGCTAAGATATTGAGCATCAAACATGTTCTAATAGGTGTCTACCAAGTTTGTTCAAATACAAGCCCAGGGGTCAAAATTGGCCCCGCCCCGGGGGTCATTGATTTTCTTTATATGTGTTTAGCAAAAACTTTAAATCTTCTTTGAAAAAACCCAAATAGCTAGAGTTTAGATATTAAGCATGAAACATCTTCTAGTAAGTGTCTACAAAGTTTGTTCAAATAAAAGCCCTGGGGTCAAAACTGGCCCTGCCCCAGGGGTGTCATTGTTTTTAACTATATGTGTATAGTAAAAACTTTAAAAAATCTTCTTTTAAAAAGCCCAATGAGCTAGAGCTTAAATGTTTAGCATGAAACATCTTCTTATGGGTGTCTACCAAGTTTGTGCAAATAAAAGCTCTTGGGTTAAATTGGCTCTGCAACGTTGGGGGGGGGGGGGGGGGGGGGGTTGGGGGCCTATATACAGGTGAGCGACCTCAGGGCCATCATGGCCCTCTTGTTTGTATATAATGATCACCTACAGCTTAGATATTTGACTTTAAATGTTGTTTGGTTTGGTGGATCTGTATCAAGATTGTTTTGAATTAAACCCTTGGGTCAAAATTTTGCCTTGCCGAAGGGGACAGTGACCTACTTCTTGTCCTTTGATGTACAGCAATGAAATTTTGACCATGTGCACAGTTTTAGTTGTAAAATTGAACTTTGATATTAGGTGACCTAGATTTTGATGATTTGACCTATTTTCTTGTCCTTTGATGTACAGCTATGAAATTTGAACCATGTGCACAGATTAAGATGTAAAGTGAACTTTGATATCAGCTGACCTAGATTTTGACAAAGTGTCTTACTGTGTTGTCCTTTTGATGTAGTCAAGAAATTTAGGCTGTGTGAAATATGACCTTCACCACCAAATTCACTAGACTCAAGTGCATTGATATATTCCTACTCTGATCTTTTATTGAGTTAAAAATCTGTTCCTACACTACTATTTAATGTTGTATTAATGCGGTGGCATAGCATTTTTCTCAAATGCAATCTTGTTTAAAATTAATTTTTGTCCAGAGCATAACTCAAAAGGCCTTTGAGATATCAACATGAAACTTCATAGGTGCATAGATCTAACTCAGGAGGTGTGCAGTGCACAAGAATGATAACTCTACCTTTTAAATTTTTTGACTTATTGCCCTTTGTTATTTTTCATACTTAATTTTTCACCTGAGTGGAACATAACTCAAAAGTGTTTGAGATGTCAACATGAAATGTCATAGGTGGATAGATCTTATTCAGGAGGAATGCTGTGCACAAGAATGATAACTCTTCCCTATATAATTTTTGAGTTATTGCCCTTTGTTCTTTTTCATACTATTTTGTCCGGAGCTTATCTCAAAAAGTATTTTAGGTATCAACTTGAAACTTCATAGGTGGATAGATTTTACTGAGGAGGGGTGCAGCACACAAGAATGATAACCTACCCTGCATTATTTTTCAGTTATTGCCCTTTGTTATTTTCAGCCATCAGTATTCACATAGGTTTCAAATCTGTAATCACTTCAGCCATCAGTTTTCATTACCAAAAGACCTCTTAAAATTGAATTATTCTGCTCAACTACATATACATTCTTCCAATGAGCAAACACATTCGGCGGGGGATGGCCATGTTGACATGGCTCTTGTTACAAAGGCAATGGTTCAGTCAACATTTGTGCTAAGTTTCATAAGTATTGAAGCAGTTTTGATAGTTTTATAGCAATTTCAACTTGTAACTGGAGACTTCAATGAAAACAGCCATTTTTATACGCTCGTTTTTTAGCTCACCTGTCACAAAGTGACAGGGTGAGCTTTTGTGATCGCTTTTCGTCCGGCGTCCATTCGTCGTCCGTCCGTCCGTCGTCCGTCCGTAAACTTTTACTTTAAATGACATCTCCTCATAAACCACTAAGCCAATTTCATCCAAACTTCACAGGAATGTTCCTTTGGTGGTCACCTTTAAAAATTGTTCAAAGAATTTAATTCCATGCAGAACTCTGGTTGCCATGGCAACCGAAAGAAAAAACTTCAAATATCTTCTTTTAAAAAACCCTAAGAGCTAGAGCTTAGATATTTGGCATGAAACATCTTCTAGTGAGTGTCTATCAAGTTTGTTCAAATAAAAGCCCTGGGGTCAAAATTGGCCCCGCCCCAGGGGGTCATTGATTTTCCCTATATGCATATAGTAAAAACTTAAAAAAATCTTCTTTTAAAGAACTCAAAGGGCTAGAGCTAAGATATTTAGCCTGAAACATCTTCTAATGAGTGTCTATCAAGTTTGTTCAAATAAAAGCCCCGGGGTCAAAATTGGCCCCGCCCCAGGGGGTCATTGATTTTCCCTATATGCATATGGTAAAAACTTAAAAAATCTTCTTTTAAAGAACCAAAAGAGCTAGAGCTTAGATATTTAGCATGAAACATGTTCTAATGGGTGTCCAAGAAGTTTGTTCAAATAAAAGCCCTCGGGTCAAAACTGGCCCCGCCCCTGGGGTCATTGATTTAACCTTATATGTGTATAGCAAAAACTTTAAAACCTTCTTTGAAAAACCCAAATAGCTAGACTTTAGATATTAAGCATGAAACATCTTCTAGTGAGTGTCTACAAAAATTGTTCAAATAAAAGCCCTGGGGTCAAAATTGGCCCCGCCCGGGGGTCATTGATTTTCCTTGTATGTGTATAGCAAAAACTTAAAAATCTTCTTTGAAAAAACCTAAATAGGTAGAGTTTAGATATTAAGCATGAAACATTTCTAGTAAGTGTCTACAAAGTTTGTTCAAATAAAAGCCCTGGGGTCAAAACTGGCCCCGCCCCATGGGTCTCATTGTTTTTAACTGTATGTGAATAGTAAAAACTTAAAAAATCTTCTTTTAAAAAACCCAATGAGCTGGAGCTTAGATGTTTAGCATGAAACAGCTTCTTATGGGTGTCTACCACATTTGTTCAAATAAAATCCCTTGGGTTAAAATTGGTCCTGCCGGAGGGGGGGGGGGGGGAGAGGGGGGCCTATATACAGGTGAGCGACCTCAGGGCCGTGATGGCCGTCTTGTCTTTAAAAACGGGATGTATTATAGTTTCCTCCCTGGCTGGCGGATGGATGGCTGGGCGGGCAGCGTCCACTTTTTGTCTGGAGCATAATCTCCTACACCCATGGAGGTATTTTAATGAAACAGCCTCATGATATTTGGATAAACTAAATGTTGATGGATGTGGGGTGGCTCAGTTTGTTAACTTTGTCTGCTTTTCATACATTGTTTACAATATCAATTGTTCCATAAAGAACCTTATTAATCAGGTGTGAGTTACAAGGCCTATCATGGCCCTCTTGGTTCATAAAAAGCCATGTCCTTATAAATTGAGCAATTGTGGAAATTCTTCACAAATTTCAAGATTATATTGAGGAATTTTCAATAAATTTGTCAATTTCTAAAAAAGTCTACAATATGCCTATAGTTGTGGTCAAATAATTCACTGTTATAATACTTTTACTTTCAGGCCCCAAGAATATTACTAGATAGTCATCGTGATAATGTTACTTCATGCAGTGATGAGTCATCAGATAGCTGCCTTGACCCAAATGTAGCACCTTTTTTTAAATCTGTGCAGAATATAGCAAGCCCCAATATCCAGTTCAGCATAAGTAGACAAGTTAAGAGGCAAAGGACTGACACAGGTGCTTTTGGTAAGTTGTTTGACTAGTTTCCTGTTTGGTATCTTTTGTCATCGGAGTACTTCTCCAGATAAAAGCTAGAGAGTTTTCTTTTAGTCTTTTTGATCTATTGACTGTATTTGTGCTGCCAGGCCATAGAAATTTGCGGATATAACTGATTTTATGACTTTAAATATAAACAAATGGTCAGTACACTTAAAACAAAATAAAATAGGGGTCAATAATATATTTTAAGGTATTTTGATAATTTTTAGCTCGACTTTTTTTTGGAAAAAAAAGTAGAGGTATTGTTATAGTCGCGGCGGCATTGCCGTCGCCGGTGCTGTTGCTGTTGCCGTTGCCGTCCGCAAACTTGTACCTGGATCATAATTTTTTTATTTCTTGGTGTATTGTCTTCATACTTGGCAACAACAACCCATGGGACAAGACCTTTCAGTAGACCACACTAACCTTGACCAGGGCCCTCAATCCAATTTGGGGGAAGCGGGTCGCTACCCTCAGCAGGGGGAATTTCAGTATATAGGGGGAATTTTTTTCATTTCTTTTTTGGTCAAATTTCAATAAACTATCACTTTAATATCAGTGTTTTATTCATAGTATACACATTTTAACAATTTTATGTTAAAGGCATTTTGTGCCTCAGAAATCCATATTTTCTAATTCTAACATGTCAAACATGACGTGTTTCACAAGGTTTCAATAATCAATCTAGAACATGTTACACATTCAAATACTGAAGAAAGTGGCACTGAATGTGCGCTAAATGTGCAGTAATGTGTTGTAAGGGTAACAAAAATTAACAAATTAGTATTTTTATTATGCCACCGCAATCTGCGATGCGGTGGCATATAGCAATTCACCTGTGTGTGTGTTTGTGTGCGTGTGTGTTTGTGTGTGTGTGTGTGTTATATAGATTATATAGTGAACTTAAAAAATCTTCTTGTGAAAAACTACTAGTCCAATTTCAACCAAACTTGGCAGGATTGTTCCTTGGGTGAAGGGCTTCCAAAGTTGTTCAAAGAATTTCATTCCATGCAGAAATCTGGTTGCAATGGCAACCAAAAGGAATTATAAGAATAAATTTAAAAAATCTTCTTGTAAAGACCCAAAAGGCCTAGAGCTTAGATATTTTGCATAAGGCATTGTCTGGTAGACCTCTAACAAGATTGTTCAAATTATAGCCCTGGGGTCAAAATTGGCCCCGCCCCGGGGGTCATTGATTTTCACTATGTACATATAGTAAAAACTTTAAATACCTTCTTGTAAAAACCCGAAAGGCCTAGAGCTAAGATATTTTGCATAAGGCATCATCTGGTAGACCCTTGCCAAGATTGTTCAAATTATAGTCCTTGGGTCAGAATCAGCCCCGCCCCGGGGTCATTGATTTTCGCTATATGTACATATAGTAAAACCTTAAAACACCTTCTTGTAAAGACCCAAAAGGCCTAGAGCTTAGGTATTTTGCATAAGGCATTGTCTGGTAGACCTCTACCCAGATTGTTCAAATTATAGCCCTGAGGTCAAAATCGGCCCCGCCCCAGGGGTCATTGGTTTTCCTTATATGTTTATAGTAAAAACTTTAAAAAATTCTTCTAGCAATTGACAAATGCTAGAGGTTAGATATTTTGCATGAAACATTGTGTTGTAAACCTCTAGCAAGATTGTTCAAATTATAGCCCTGGGGTCAAAATTGCCCCCGCCCTGGGGGTCATTGATTTCAATATATACATATAGTAAAAAATAAAAAAATCTTATTGTCTGAAGGTACAAGGCTTAGAGCTTTAATATTTGTTAAATAATATCATTTAAAGGTACTCTACCAAAGTTGTTCAAATTTTGCCTCTTGTGTCAAAATTAGCCCCGCCCCTGGGAGCCATAGGTTTATCTTATATGTATATAGTTAAAACTTAAAAATTCATCTTCTCTAAATCTACAAAGGATAGAGTTAAGATATTTTGCATGAAACATTGTGTAGTGAACCTCTAGCAAGATTGTTCAAATTATAGCCTTGGGGTCAAAATTGGTTCCGCCCCGGGGGTCATTGATTTTCATTATGTACATATAGTGAAAAAAAAAGTATTTTTTTTGATTTTTGTCTGAAGGTTCAAGGCATAGAGCTTTGATGTTTGATATATAATATCATCTATAGGTCCTCTACCAAAGTTTTTCAAATGTCAAAAATTGGCCCTGCCCTGGGGGCAGTGATTCTCATTATGTACACGTATTAAAAACAGAAAATAAAACAAATGTTTTCTGAATGGGAGAAAGCTATAGCTTAGATATTTTACTTGAAATGTTGTTTGGTGGACCTGTATCAAGATTGTTATTAAACCCTTGGGTCAAAATTATGCCTTGTCCAAGGAGACAGTGACCTACTTTCTTGTCCTTTGATGTACAGCAATGACATTTTGACCATGTGCACAGTTTTAGTTGTAAAATTGAACTTTGACCTAGATTTTGATGATGTGACCTACTTTCTTGTCCTTTGATGTACAGCTATGAAATTTGAACCATGCCGTGGCATAGCATTTTTCTCAAATGCAATCTTGTTTTCCTGTTAATTTTAGAATGCTCCTGAAATAACCAGACAAATATGTAAAATTCTTATATTTAAAATGTGTTCATTCTAATATTTAACATATTTGTAATAGATTAAAATATTCTTAAAATCTGAAAGTAAAAGTGATACAAATCTTTAGTTAATGTTTTAAGTGTCAATAATTCATTTAGTTAAGTCTGCCTCATGTGAACTTAAGTAATGATGAGTTAACATTTTTATAAAAAGAAAAATTAAAGGCCATTAGATGTAGAAAATTAAGTGAGTAACATAGTTTAAACAGTTTTAAAAGCACATTATGCCTCAAAAATCCATATTCTTTAATTTATTAGAAATATCAAACATTTTAATAATGTTTCAATAATAAAGATAGAGCATAATACATGAAAATAGCACTGAACATGCAGTTATGTGTCATAAGAGTAGCAAACTGTAAACAAAGTAGTATTTTGACTTCTATTCAAAATACTTATTCACTATAATCATACCAATTGCTCATGTATATGGAAAATGGTTATATGTTTGGAAACTGTAACATGTTAACTTAAGTTCACATGAGGCAGACTTAACTAAATGAATTATTGACACTTAAAACATTAATTAAAGATTGGTTTATGATAATGATGAGTTAACATTTTTATAAAAAGAAAAATTAAAGGCCAGTAGATGTAGAAAAATATAAGTGAGTAACAATTACATGGTATAAAAAGTACTGTTAAAAGACACAACTGAACAAGTGAACGTCATATAACATTCAGTTAAAAATGTCAACAAAATAGGAAATTTCAAAACAGACACTGTGCACTTTAACACAACTTTAACTCATAATCTTTACTTTATGGATCTCATCTTATGCTTGAAGGCTTCAAACTCGCACATAATTTGAGCATTTGTATAGACAGGGTTTGCAACATTTCTGTGTCCATTAAAGGTGTCTTCCTTGATGTTACCATAATGGTTTGCTAATTGTCTAATGGGCATCTTAAAGCAGTACATACAGACAATGTATAATAAAAAGAACCAGCAGTGTATTGCAATACTTACATTTCATAATTTGATGATCAAATCCTAGAAATAATTAACTGAGAAGACTTTTAAAGACTGTTCATAATAAGAATACTAAACTTTAAAAGAAATATTTTAAATACAATTTATATATAGAAATGATAATTTAAACAAGAGGTAGAATTTACAATTAATTTAACTTAAATTAATTTAAATAATTTATCAATCTTACCTGTCCAAAAATATTGATAACATCTGCTATACTGTCTGGCACATTCTTCATGTTGAATACAGAAAAAGATTGTAGCACTTCAGAGCAATGAAAAGCATCTTCAACCTCACCAATCAAAGAGTATACAATAGGTACCGCAAACTCTTCTGCAAACTGGTGGATTGTTACAGATGGAGGACCCCTGAAAGTTAAAATATGTTCATATCTGAATGCTAACTATTATAAACAGAATAAGGTTAAGTTTCTGCTAGCCTAGAATATCAGAAATTCCAAAAAGTAAAATTTTGTATTATTAGTAATAGTTAATAGTCAGTTTATTGTATCATTTTACTTTTGTATGAAGATGGAAGATAAGTCAAGTAAACTTTACCTTAGGCGTCTTGACAAGTCTGTTCTATCATCAATTTCTTCCCAGAAACTCTCAACTTTAGAAAACTTAAGGCCAATGTCAGCCTCACCCTGACCAACTCTTTTAAATCTGTGAACAAGACTATGCAGTTTGTCTACCAGTGCCTGAAAAAAGTTAACTTGTAGTTAAGTTATGTTTGCACATACAATTTGGTACATGATAAAACTATATATCATTAATTATAAATAGTTATACCCCCACAAACGAAGTTTAGGGGGGGTATATAGGAGTCACCTTGTCGGTTGGTTGGTCGGTCGGTCGGTCGGTCGGTCGGTCCGTCGGTCGGTCCACATCATGGTTTCCGGACGATAACTAGAGTTTGGAATGAGGTATTGTAATCAAACTTGGTATATAGCAACCTTATGTGGAAACTCCGGTTGGTATTGCATTTGGACCCCCTGGGGTCAAGGTCAAGGTCACCGTTACTAAAAATAGAAAAATGGTTTCCGGACAATAACTTGAGTTAGGAATGAGATATTGTAATCAAACTTGGTGTATAGCAAGCTTATATGAAGACCTGGGTTGGTATTGCATTTGGACCCCCTGGGGTCAAGGTCAAGGTCACCGTTACTAAAAATAGAAAAATGGTTTCCGGACAATAACTAGAGTTAGGAATGAGATATTGTTATCAAACTTGGTGTATAGCAAGCTTATATGAAGACCTGGGTTGGTATTGCATTTGGACCCCCTGGGGTCAAGGTCAAGGTCACCGTTACTAAAAATAGAAAAATGGTTTCCGGACAATAACTTGAGTTAGGAATGAGATATTGTAATCAAACTTGGTGTATAGCAAGCTTATATGAAGACCTGGGTTGGTATTGCATTTGGACCCCCTGGGGTCAAGGTCAAGGTCACCATTACTAAAAATAGAAAAATGGTTTCCGGACAATAACTAGAGTTAGGAATGAGATATTGTTATCAAACTTGGTGTATAGCAAGCTTATATGAAGACCTGGGTTGGTATTGCATTTGGACCCCCTGGGGTCAAGGTCAAGGTCACCATTTCTAAAAATAGAAAAATGGTTTCCGGACAATAACTAGAGTTAGGAATGAGATATTGTAATCAAACTTTGTGAAAAGCAAGCTTATTTGGAGACCCCAGTTGGGATTACAATTAATTGAAATATTTCTTTGTACACAGTTGATAGTTTGTGTTGAAATTTTTCTTCAGACTACTTATTTTTCAAAAAGTTGCTGGTGGGGGTATTAATCACCTTCAGTGATAGGTCTAGTTACTATATATCATAAATTTATAAATAGTTTTCATGATACACATCATAAACAATAGAAACTCAAAAGTTATGATAATTTTGCATAATTAAATGCCAACTCATACCTATATTTTGTTCTTAGTTACTTAGTTATAAATACTCACTGACACTTTCTCATTCACTAGTGTAAAGTAAACATCTCCCTGCAGGTAATCACTAAAAGTACACAGAGGTGCCAACATGTCACATAGAACAGCAGCGGCAGCAATTAATTTCTTGTTTGCCAACATTTGTCGCAGACCGTATACTTCAAGAATTTGTTCAAATCTGTCAAGTAGCCTCTGGCATGCACGTCCATGTGAGAGCCATCTTAAAGTAATGAATTAGAGATTTGCCATCTTAAAGTTAAAAATTAGATTAAGTTTTTTATATACAATATTAAAGGATATCTATAAAATGTGTGGGAAAATATTTTAAAGTAAACATATTAATATGTATCTTACTCTATTTCAATTGATGCTGCAGAACACAAACATGTCCTTGTTTTGAACCTACTTAATCTTTATCATTTAAATTATGATATTTTTGTATAATGTTTGAACTTTCTAACCTTGTAGATACAGCCTTAATAAAAGTCAACTGGGTGAGGTTATATGTTTCCTGCACCTGCTGGAATACTGCAAATCTCTGTGGTGAATATGTAAACAGCTTCCAAATCGCAATAAGTAATTCATCTAGTACTTGTAGGACAGGATAATTTTTTACCAGATGTTTTACACATAACGCCAACCTGTGATTTCTGCAGTGTATGTAAAGTCAGTGTGGGACTATATGTCTGAATCTTCGTTGAAGGCCTGTTTTATAAAGAATTGATATATGGCATTAAATGATTAATACCCAAACAGGAATTTTTATGCAATGCATTATGTTAAGATCACAATATAAAACTTTTATATGGTCAGACAAATCTTAACAGTGTAAACAAGGTTGCACCCTGAGAAACTATATTTATTTTATATCAGTGTGATGCAAAAATGTTCAAAGAACCTGGTCTATTAGAATAATAATTAAGTAAAATATTATTTGTACCTTTGTTTTCTCCACTCATTGTGTTACATCCATCAAAACCAACCAGGACCGCTTTTTCTAATGGCACATCTTTGGCCAGTAAGAATCCTTGAATGGCTGTCATCAGATTTTCTGCAGTAGCAGATGTGACATGAACTAAACCTAAGAAGACATCTTGCACTTTTCTCTCATAAAGAAACTTGGCAACAATGGCAAACTGATTTCTGTTACCCTCATCTGTTGACTCATCTGCTCATCTGCACAGCAAGCTGAGGACCTTAATGCTTGTAAAATGTCATTTTCAAAAACTGAAGAAAGAGATTCCAATATTTCCTGTACTGAAGATGGAGAAGTGTAAGCTATATTTGGATTTAACTCTAAGTGTGTTCTAACTGCATCCATTTGTAAGTCCTTTCCCAAGAAGTTTTTCATGAAATCTTCCAAATTTTCACATACAGCCCAACGTTTTCTTGTCAAAAAATAGGCACTTCTGAACAGTACTTTGATGTAGTTGGAAGCAGAAAGATCTTTTTCACATTTACTTTTAGATGCTTGTTGTTTGACCTGATCCAAAACAGTCTGTTTTGGTGCAAAATATTTGGCAGTTGCTTTGATATGGTTCTCTGAATTTTCATGATATCTAATTTTTCGCCCTGGATGTTGACCTAAAAAAACACCACGTGCAACATATGCATGGTCTATAACTGGATTACGGAAGTAAAACTCACAATACTTGCAACAATAATCAGATTTTGATGCACTTTAATATAGCCAAGGATGTGCTCTCTCATATTTTGTGGTGTCAAACTTTCTGTTGTCTGGAACTATAACAGAGTAGGATTCACTTATTTCTTCTTCCTAAACAAAAATAAGGAAGACATAACTAAACGACAGGGAACACAGTGGATAAAAAAATCATTAATGTGACCCCAATTAAAATTTTTCAAAAATTTTTTTTTATTGACATCACATAAAATATGAAAAGTTATATAATTTTGTTGAAATTTCATACAAGTATCCGATCGTATTATTTTTTTAAAACTTTGATAAAGCTGAGCTTTCATGGGGTATACTGTATTTGGATTCCCCAGAATGAAAATGTATATGAGGTATTTATTGTAATTCATAATTAAAACAGCATTTAATTGCAATTCATAATTAAAACAGCATTTTTCTATATTAAATATTAATTCTAAGTGCATTTTGGCAATATTTGGGTGTATTAAAAATTTTGTGTATTTTGTGCTGCCCAAGCTACATTTCATACATAAAATTTAAATTTAAATTTTTAGTAGCCCGAGTCCATACTTGGTTATATGAACTGTCATTTTTAAATGAATATTGACGCTACACAAATGAATTATTCTTTTAATCTTAAAAAGAAAACTTAAGATTCAAATACCGAGTTTGAAGTTGAAGAAGAGACTGAGTCCGAAAACATTTGAACATCGGCTGAATCATTTGTCATGATTGTGGTTTCTGCGGGGGTTTCTTCATGTTGCATTTCACTTGAAGTGCCAGGCACATTTAGTTGTGAAGCCAATGATTTCTATTTAAACAGCACATCTATTTTTTTGCATCCATCCGTTGCTTTTTGTTGAGTTTTTTGCGATACGATTTGCTATTATGAGACATTTTGAAATGGGAACCAAAGTTTTCACGGTGCGCCCATAAAAATGTCAAACCATGAAAAACGGTAAACGGTGCATACATTACACGCTACAGGGAGTGTATTTTTATGCCACCGCAGCATCTGCGATGCGGTGGCATATAGCGATTCACCTGTGTGTGTGTGTGTTTGTTTGTGTGTGTGTGTGTTATATAGATTATATAGTGAACTTAAAAAAATCTTCTTGTGAAAAACCACTAGTCCAATTTCAACCAAACTTGGCAGGGTTGATCCTTGGGTGAAGGGGTTCCAACGTTGTTCAAAGAATTTCATTCCATGCAGAAATCTGGTTGCCATGGCAACCAAAAGGAATTATAAGAATAAATTTAAAAAATCTTCTTGTAAAGACCCAAAAGGCCTAGAGCTTAGATATTTTGCATAAGGCATTGTCTGGTAGACCTCTACCAAGATTGTTCAAATTAAAGCCCTTGGGTCAAAATCGGCCCCGCCCCGGGGGTCATTGATTTTCACAATATGTACATATAGTAAAAACTTAAAAAACCTTCTTGTAAAGACCGAAAAGGCCTAGAGCTTAGATTTTTTGCATAAGGCATTGTCTGGTAGACCTCTACCAAGATTGTTCAAATTATAGCCCTAGGGTCAAAATCAGCCCCGCCCCGTGGCAACCAAAAGGAATTATAAGAATAAATTTAAAAAATCTTCTTGTAAAGACCCAAAAGGCCTAGAGCTTAGATATTTTTGCATAAGGCATTGTCTGGTAGACCTCTACCAAGATTGTTCAAATTATAGCCCTGGGGTCAAAATCGGCCCCGCCCCGGGGGTCATTGATTTTCACTATATGTACATATAGTAAAAACTTAAAATACCTTCTTGTAAAGACCGAAAAGGCCTAGAGCTTAGATTTTTTGCATAAAGCATTGTCTGGTAGACCTCTACCAAGATTGTTCAAATTATAGCCCTGGGGTCAAAATCGGCCCCGCCCCGGGGTCATTGCTTTTCACAATATGTACATATAGTAAAAACTTAAAATACCTTCTTCCAAAGACCCAAAAGGCCTAAGGCTTAGATATTTTGCATAAGGCATTGTCTGGTAGACCTCTACCCAGACTATTCAAATTAAACCCCTGGGGTCAAAATCGGCCCGCCGGGGGGTCATTAGTTTTCCTAATATGTATCTTCAATATATACTTATAGTAAAAAATCTTATTGTCTTTATTAGAGCTTAAATATTTTTTAAATGATATCATCTATAGGAACTCTACCAAAGTTGTTCGAATTTTGCCTCTAGTGTCAAAATTAGCCCCGCCCAGGGGGCCATAGGCTTTCCTTATATGTATATATATGTAAAATTTATTTTTTTATTTTTTTACTATATATACATATATATATATATAGTAAAAAAATAAAAAAATAAATTTTCATCTGAAGGTACAAGGCATAGAGCTTCGATGTTTGCTATATAATATCATCTATAGGTCTCTTCCAAAGTTGTTCAAATTATTCCCCTGGTGTCAAAAATTGGCCCTGCCCTGGGGCAGTGATTCTCATTATGTACACATAGTAAAAACAGAAAATAAAACAAATTTTTTCTGAATGGGAGAAAGCTACAGCTTAGATTATTTGACTTGAAATGTTGTTTGGTGGACCTGTATCAAGATTGTTTTGAATGAAACCCTTGGGTCCAAAATTTTGCCTTGCCCAAGGGGACAGTGACCTACTTTCTTGTTCCTTTGATGTACAGCAATGAAATTTTGACCATGTGCACAGTTTTAGTTGTAAAAATTGAATTTTGTATCAGGTGACCTAGATTTTGATGATGTGACCTACTTTCTTGTCCTTTGATGTACAGCTATGAAATTTGAACCATGTGCACAGATTAAGACGTAAAGTGAACTTTGATTTCAGCTGACCTAGATTTTGACAAAGTGTCTTACTGTTCTTTGATGTAGTCATGAAATTTAGGCTGTGTGAAATATGACCTTCACCACCAAATTCACTAGACTCGAGTGCATTGTTATATTCCTACTCTGATCTTTTATTGAGTTAACAACAGATTTAACCACTAATCTGATAATAAGAATAAGATAGGTCAGGGATCTATGCATTATGACAATCTTCAAAATTGTATAGAAACAAAAAAAAATCTGTTCCAACACTACTATTTAGTGTTGTATTGATGCGGTGGCATAGCATTTTTCTCAAATGCAATCTTGTTTTGAAACCTGTACTTTAAAGAAATGAAAAAAGAGGTATTTCTATACACTTGTTTGCATTCCTGTTGCTGTCGGCCAAATATACTTTACATTTGACACTAACCTTTAAATGACATTTAAGAATTTTATAAACCTGTTGCTTCTTTTTAAAAAGAAAAATACTTATCAGATCTATTCCTTTAGGTGAGCGATATAGGGCCATCATGGCCCTCTTGTTCACAAATGTAATCTTGTTACTAAGATTAATATGATTTTACCATTTTTTATTTCAGATCACTTTAGTCTTCTCTCAGATGAAATCATTCTTGCAATATATGCTTGGCTACCAAAGTTTGTGCTTGCAAAATGTGCTAGAGTATGTAAGAAATGGAGCAGATTAGTGTAAGTCTTCTCAACAAATTGTACATGCTAATTATATCCCCGAAACAAAGTTTGGGGGGGTATATAGGAGTCACTCGGTGGTCGGTCGGTCGGTCCAGCCGTCCGTTGCATTTTCCTTGTCCGGAGCATAACTTAAAGACTAATGGTTGGAATTCAATACAACTTCATACAATGGTCAAGCACATTGAGGGGAAGTGCAGAGCACAGAAACCATAACTCCATCTTCACTAATTACAGAGTTATTGCCCTTTGTTACTTTTCCTTGTCCGGAGCATAATTTGAAAACTACTAGTTGGAATTCAAAACAACTTCATACAATGGCCCAGAGATCTGCCGAGGACGCGATTTTGCGCCATTGGCGCTAAAAAAATGAGAATGGCGCAGGAAAATCAGCAGCAAAGGGCCGAGGTTGCATCTAAAATTTGTGCCAGACTTATAAGAAAACAAAACTGTCTCCTGGGTTATTTAGTCATCTAGTCAAAACTGATACCAACAGCAACATGCTACCCATTCCCCTGTTATTATGCATATTCTTGAGTTGAACCATTCCCCTATAGCTTTTGTTCTTGTTATCTACTTACCGCTTTTCTTCTCATAATCCCTTTCCCACATTGATACTCATTTCTACTACCGTAAATTTAATCCAATTAAACAAACAAACAAAAAAATTATACAACTACTTAATATTTAAAATGATTATTGGTAACTGAAAAAAAGTGTTGCTAGTTTAAGAAATGGTATAAGTTACAGTATAATCTGACAGGTGTGCAACTTGATTTCCCCTAAGGTCACTCAAGTTCACGCAAGCTTTGGCTGATGAAGTGTAAAAAAATGATGTCTATTTCTTCATCAGAATATTTGACAGGGTGATTAACCAATCAGGGAAACATTGTGCATGACTTTTGTCATGATCAAAAGGTCTGTTGGCGTCTTTGATGTATGCTTTCTACACAGAGGCATACAAGGAGTAATAAAATTCGTCAATATACAGTGTGACAGGGACATTTGGTGCATAGGAACAATTAAATGGATAATGCACAGTATTAGACATTAGAAGTAAGAACAAGCAATTATGTGAATAAATTATGCAAATCAGATTTTGAGCAGCCATTTGAAAAAATGTTTTGCCTGCAATTAATATTAGTTAGAAAGTTACCGTCTAGGCATTTTTATGCCACCGTAGCATCTGCGATGCGGTGGCATATAGCGCTTTACCTGTGTGTGTGTGTGTGTGTTTGTGTGTGTGTTTGTATGTGTGTTCTATAGATTATATAGTGAACTTAAAAATCTTCTTGTGAAAAACCACTTGTCGAATTTCAACCAAACTTGGCAGGATTGATCCTTTGGTGAAGGGCTTCCAAAGTTGTTCAAAGAATTTCATTCCATGCAGAAATCTGGTTGCCATGGCAACCAAAAGGAATTATAAGAATAAATTTAAAAATCTTCTTGTAAAGACCCAAAAGGCCTAGAGCTTAGATATTAGAGCATAAGGCATTGTCTGATAGAAATCTACCAAGATTGTTCAAATTATAGCCCTGGGGTCAAAATCGGCCCTGCCCCAGGGGTCATTGATTTTCACTATATGTACATATAGTAAAAACTTAAAATACCTTCTTGTCTGCAGGTACAAGGCTTAGAGGTTTGATATTTGGTATGTGTTATTATCTATAGGTACTCTTCCAAAGTTGTTCAAATTTTGCCTATAGTGTCAAAATCAGCCCCGCCCGGGGGTCATATGTCATATAAGGTTTTCCTTATATGTATATAGTAAAAACTTTAAAAAATTTCTTCTAGCAATTGACAAATGCTATAGGTTAGATATTTTGCATGAAACATTGTGTAGTGAACCTCTACCAAGATTGTTCAAATTATAGCCCTGGGTCAAAATTGGCCCCGCCCAAGGGGTCATTGATTTTCAATATGTACATATAGTAAAAAATTAAAAAATCTTATTGTCTGAAGGTTCAAGGCTTAGAGCTTTGATATTTGGTATAAATATCATCTATGAGTCCTCTACTAAAGTTGTTTTAATTATGCCCCTAGAAGTGAAATTGAATTGACAAAGGCTAGAGGTTAAATATTTGGCATGAGACTTTGCGAAGTGAACCTCTACCAATATTATTCAAATTATAGCCCTGGGGTTAAAATTGGCTCTGCCCGGGGGTCATTGATTTTCATTATGTACATATAATAAAAAAATCAAAAAATCTTTTTGTCTGAAGGTACAAGGCATAGAACTTTGATGTTTGCTAAATAATGTCATCTATAGGTCCTCTACCAAAGTTGTTCAAATTTTTACCCTGGTGTCAAAATTGGCCCTGCCCGGGGGCATTGATTCTCATTATGTACACATGGTAAAAACAGAAACTAAAACAAATGTTTTCTGAATTGGAGAAAGCTACAGCTTAGATTTTTGACATGAATTGTGTTTGGTGGACCTGTATCAAGATTGTTTTGAATTAAACCCTTGGGTCAAAATTTTACCTTGCCCAAGGGAACAGTGACCTACTTTCTTGTCATTTGATGTACAGCAATAAAATTTTGACCATGTGCACATTTTTAGTTGTAAAAATGAACTTTGATATTAGGTGACCTAGATTTTAATGATGTAACCTACTTTCTTGTCCTTTGATGTACAGCTATGAAATATGAACCATGTGCACAGATTAAGATGTAAAGTGAACTTTGATATCAGCTGACCTAGATTTTGATAAAGTGTCTTACTGTGTTGTCCTTTGATGTAGTCATGAAATTTAGGCTGTGTGAAATATGACCTTCACCATCAAATTCACTAGTCTCAACTGCATTGATATATACCTACTCTGATCTTTTATTTGAATAACAATAGATTTAACCACTAATCTGAAAATAATAATTAGATAGGTAAGGGATCTGTGCATTATGACAATCTTCAATTGTATAGAAACAAAAAAAAATCTGTTCCTACGCTACTATTTAGTGTTGTATTAATGCGGTGGCATAGCATTTTTCACAAATGCAATCTTGTTTTAATTATTGGTTTTCTTCTATCATAAGTGAACCACTTGTCATAAAATTTGATATGATTTAAGTTCCATTACAAAAGAAATTCAATTATCTATAAATTTTTTTACAGTCATTTAGGTCAATGTTTACTTATTTTCCCAAGGCCCATACTTTGGTCAAAATGGCCAAATCTATTTTAGACCAAGTGGGCCCAGGGCCCAGTACTTTCAAATTCTTGGCAGATCTCTGATGGTCAAGCACAATAAGGGGAAGTGCAGTGCACTAGAATCATAACTCTATCTAAAGTAATTACAGAGTTATTGCCCTTTGTTACTTTTCCATTGCTTTCTTTTGTTCGGACCATAACTTGAAGACTGATGGTTGGAATTCAATACAACTTCATACAATGATCAAGGACATTGAAAGTAACTGCAGTGCACAAAAACCATAACTCAATCATGACTAATTACAGAGTTATTGCCCTTTGTTACTTTCCCTTGTCTGGTGCATAACTTGAAAACTAGTAGTTGGAATTCAATACAACTTCATACAATGGTCAAGTATATTGAGAGGAAGAGCAGTGCACAGTAACCATAACTCTTTCTTTTAAGAGTTTTTGCCCTTTGTTACTTTTTATTGTCCATTGCACAACTTGAAAATTAATGGTTGGAATTCAAAGAACAGTGTTCCCATTCACGCACAAATGTACGTGAATCACGTATAATTTACAAGAATCACGCATGAAATTACAACTAGGTGCGTGCATGCACGTATAAAAATTGAAGTAAAACTGCCAAAAAATTATCTGCAAATTCGAAGCACAAATCAATAATCTACTCGTAAATCTCTGCAATTGTTTACAAGACCTTAATTTAATCTGATCAGTCATAACTGAGTTCATAACTCGGGTTTCCCATCTGTGCTATTTTTAGCTCTTGGACTGGTTTATAATTATTAACGACGCTTCCCGACGCTCTATATTAAAAGCAGTAACAAGTCTACATCCGGGGAATACAAATAAGCCATCTGAAATATTAAATAATCGCAGAAAAATTTATTGAAAATGCAACGCAATTTAAATGAGTGGTTCCATAAAAGCGATTCCAGCGAAAAATTGCCAATCCTTACTCAATCCTCTAGCGCAAATCAAGATCCAGGCCCTAGTGAAAATAGTGATGAACCCCCCAAAAAGAAACATTGCAAACGATTTCAGAACTCCTGGTTGTCCGAATTTTCATGGCTAAGATTTGACAAAGACAACCATAAAATGTTTTGTTTAACATGCGAGACATATGAAAAAAACACTAGAAAAAGTCTGAAATCGGCGTTTACAATGGGACTAATAATTTCCAGCGGTCAGCATTAGTTAGACACCAGAAATGCGACGATCACAATGTGTCATACAACGCCAAAAAGCAACAATCTTACATGACTGCTGCTGTAATAATAGTTCAGAAAAAATATGAAGCAATCTTAGAGGCACATATTCTGTGAAGTGTACCCCCAAAAATATGACCTAGGGGGTACATGTACCCTCAAATTTAAATTCTAGTGGGAACACTGAAAGAAACTTCATAGAATGGTCAAGGGCAGTGAGATGAAATGCAGTGCACAAGAACCATAACTCTTTTTGGATTTATTATGCTCGGGGAGCATATAGTCGTCGGGTTGTCCGTCCGTCAGTCCGTCCGAGCAAACATTTGACTATTATGAGCTTCATTCCGTAGTTAAATAAAGAACAGAAACTCATAAAAATCGAATTAAGAGCTATTTTTAGCTCACCTTGCACATAGTGCAGGTGAGCTTTTAGGATGGCCAATCAAAAGCGTCCCTCGTCCGGTGTCCGTCCACATTTTATTTAGACGACATCTTCTATAAAACCACTTGACCAATATTAATGAAACTTTGCAGGAATACTCTTTGTATGAAGCTCTATCAAGATTGTTCAAAGAATGCCATTCCATGCTAAACTCTGGTTGCTATGGCAACTAAAAGAAAAAACTTCAAAGTTCTTA